GTTATTAACATAGAACTTATTGCACAAGGTAGCTAAAAAATCTAAAACAATTACATATTTGAAAAATGTCTTATTAAAATTATTTGTAACTTTGTATGTACCTAGATGTACTAAAAATATATTACAGGATATCCCACAAGTAATAATGAGCCTGAACATTTTTTTGAAGCAACCAACATTACATTTCATAGATAACGTGGATATTAAAATATTTTGTTTTAATTAGTTAAACATAGTAATCGTATTTTTATTTTTGACAAATTTTTATCAGTCAAAATGGCTACTCTAGTTTGAGAAAGTCCGTCTATTTGGATATCGCGCTGTATAGAAACGTAAAGTCTGCGAAGCGTTTTTCAAACATTCTTCATAAATAAGAATCTTGTTTGTCTTTTCGGCAAAATTTTAGTAATTCTCAGCAAATTTTCAAAGATTTGACTTTTTATAAATTAAAGTTGAAGTGTGCTGTTTGGTCACTATGTTTAATTTATTACTAAACTAAACTAAATATTTTAATATCCACGTTATCTTTGAAATGTAATGTTGGTTGCTTCCAAAATTTTTTCAGGCTCATTATTACTCGTGGGACACCCTGTATATGCAACAATATTAGTTTTGAACCATAATTTTTTATTAAAATATAAAACTAACATCTTTTTTTAATAGCAAATTAACTAAATATTAAAAAAAAAACATTTCTTTTTAAGTTTAAGCCAACAGTACTTAAATATAAAACATTATGCTTATGGCTATGAACAGTGAATTACAAACAAAAAAACTGTTCCAAAAAAAAACAAAGGATTGAAAATTTTGCATAATAATTCATAACTCCTGGTTTTATAAAAATTGTTTTATCAAATTCCTAACTAAAAAATCTCAAAATATTATTGACGTAAAAGGAGCGTTATCTAAAACAGTTCAGAGTTCGCAACGATGGTGAAGTATATAAAAAAAAATTGCATAAAATTCGTTGAAGAAAGCCTCCTTTACGTTATAGGTTTTAGATTTTTTCGTGTCTCCATGTTTGTTATGACAATGATAACGGCCTAGGCCTCCACAGATGGTAAATTTTAAAGAACGTTGCTACGCATGTTGATATTAAAAGACACACTTGAAAGACTACTTGCGTCAAAAACGACAATTTTGAATAATTTTGACAAAATCTTTTAGTATCAGGAAAAATACTAAAGGCCTCGATTTTTTAATTTTATTTTTCAATTGAACAACTTTCCAAAATCTATTTTGCTGTTTAGAAAAAATGTATTTGACTCCTGTTGATTATCTCAAATGACAGTGTTAAACGATGTGTGCAAAGTAGGAAACAGAACTTTTTCGTTCTCCTTGTTTTAAAATTAATCAATTAAATAGTATGTAAAAAAAAACATTTCGCTCTCCTAATGTTCTCGTACGTTTTACGAAACATTCTTATTGTTGAACAAAAGTACTCTGCTTTTGTATCAAACTAAATGACCACAAATCATCAAACTCTCATATTTCACGATTTTGTGGTCAATAAACTGGTGAGCACACAAACAAATTAGCCATTTCGTAGCCGAGGGAAAACAGAAAACTGAAAGTAAAAGAAAATTGCCAGATAAAAATATCTCAGTAAGCAGCAAACATCCACTTGTATTTTCCAGGATTTAACATGTTGATGATAATTTCTCTCGAATCCTGGGGACCCGAGAGATAAACCAGACCTCGAACCGAACAGAAAAACTCAGGAAGTTGTAATGGGCAAGAAAAGGAAAACTGCTACTTTCCGATTAAGCTTTCTACCTGAACATGTTTTCCACTTCGCCGAAATCACGTAGGTTGAGTGTCACAATAGTAAGAAGTTTCTGAAATTTATTATTTACGATATTAGAAGCCTTATCGCGTCGGCCCTAAATGAACAAAACCCGCCCATTTTTTCAATTTTCAACTAACAACAGCTAATTCCTTATTGATCAAGGGAAGCATCACCAACACACGATGCTGCAAACGCACTTCTAAATATTCCAAGTAGTAAATATCTCTCGAGTTCGTGACGCGTCAGACAAAGAGCAAGCTGCATTGAAGAGAAAATTGCGCTTCCCAGAGAGAATACAAACGTGCAGCCTGGAGAAGTCTTCATTTAATTAGAATTCTTTATATTTCATTCAGTGAGAAAGCCATTTGTCCGGAACCGTCGTCGAAGGAATGTGTCGCGCTACTTGAAAATCTAGTGCTCTCTGAAGCCGCATCCAGCAGGTATTCATGGATGTGAACGACCGTCCCTTTTAGACAAAAGATAGTGCTCTTTTGGTTCCGCTTTGGTGATTCTGCTTCCGGTTCGGTAAGAAGATTGCTTCCGTTGCTCTGTGAGGACGTGCCGCGCTTCTGATTAAATGTTTCGATTTTTTGTTTTTTTTTCTGCTTCGAGGAAAATTAGGATAAATTAATTACACAGGAAACGTTAACAAAAAGTCCATTATACATCTTAATGTTAACTCGGTAAGAAGATGCCTGAACTCTGCTAATTACAATAATCTCAAGATAGATTTTATTGCACAAAACTGTGAATACAGTTAATATGGAAATATGCGATTAAATCAAGATGTAATTATTTATGAATTCCTACGTACAGATGAAATATCGCACGAAGATTATCACTCAAGCTAAGAACATCAGTCATTTTGATGTGACTGTAATTGTTTCTTAGCTATAAAAGTTTAACTTAGCCAACCTCAGAAATGAACACAAATTGATTACAAAGTCATACCTAATACGTTTTCATGGTACATTTAGCATGAAGTTGATATAATTTGCAGAGATCTGGAAGTAACAACTGAAGTGAAGAAACAGGTAGGTATAACATCGACTGAGTAATTCCGAAGCGAATGAGCAATAAAGTTTAAGAGAAACTTGGGAATAATACTGAAAAGGTAGATGAGGTCTTCTCTATAATCATAAAGAACCCGATAAAAATATTTCGAGAAAATTGAATTATTCAAATTTCGGGAATTTAGTTAAAGAAGAAAATGTTCGACAAATTATACCGAACGGTCCAAATTGCTTACAAATTAGATCATTCTTTCAAAAAGCTCAAAAATGTCAAAGATATTGTCCGAGAACGATATTTTGTATAAAAAAATGTTGATTTTGGTAAAACACAAAAACGATTGACTAACTTGAGTTAGTCTACCGGACTCCTACCTCAAGGTTTAAGAAAATAAAAATAACTATTTATAGAAAAGTACTCGTAGCACCAATAAATGTAGAATTTCAGTTTAAAATAACTTTCTAATGTTATAAATTATATCAGAAAAATATAATAATTACATCATTTCTCAATTTTGCATCTAGAATAAAGCTGTAAATCATTTATTTTAGTACTGAAATTTTTTCTATGCAGTTGTCCTGCTAGACCTAGAATCCAAATTATTTTCTTGAAGCAACAAAAACAATAAATTGATTTTATATTTCTTTTATGTACCATGACCAAAATAAAATAAAAACTTGTTTAGCACTACGTTGTTCATTTTTTAAACGTATACTCGCACTACCGTTATAAACCTTGTTTAATATTCAATTTGTTTATTTATTTGTGCAGGTGAGTGTAGTGTTTACATCGCATCGGTGGTTCAGTGGTAGAATGCTCGCCTGCCACGCGGGCGGCCCGGGTTCGATTCCCGGCCGATGCAGTCTCCTTTTTTTTCCTTTGTCAAAACCATCTTTTTAATGAAGGAGAATAATTACAAGTTAATATATTCACATAATAAGGAACACATGTACGCAATTTTGGTTAATCTTGGCAATTAGTTCGACGGTGTGCATTTTCGAACACATTTGTTACGCATCAACTTATTTTCGACTTGAAAAAAGAAAATTTAGTGCTTCATATTAAGGAAACGTGCCGGCGGATGCGTATTGCAAACATTTTGACACGGGAATTTTCTCAAGTTTTTTTATTTACATTATTTTTAACTTTAACAGGAAACCTGAGTAAGCGGAGTATATTTTACGTTTTAACAGGAAACAACAGTCATAACGATCAAAAACGTTCATAAACCGAGTAGGTTACAGTTAACTATCTCAACATTTTGAAAGTGAGTCTTTTTCGGCAGATTTTCCAGTTATTTATACTTTTATTTCCGACACATGGTGAGCTTTTAAATACATAGATTTTTATGACCGTGCTTTGGATTAACTGCACCAATTCACCGACAGACGGGCTCTTGTCTGTAACGAAGTGTTGACTTTATCTTCCATAAAAGCGAATAGTTTTTTGTATTAATAGACCATTCGGATTTACAATTCATGTGTAACGTTAACAACCCCGTTACAATAAACTTTACACCAACGACCACTAAATTATAACGAAGTGCACAGACAAAACATAATCAAGACAAATGAAAACGACTGAAATTAACACATGTTGTAAAAAAGAAATGAAATTCTCCAGTGGCACTAATAATAAATTATAATTACCAACGAAAGAGTTTTTTATACAAGTATGTAAAGTCACGCGGAAATTGTTTGAAATTTTAGATGTGAGTGCTTCAAAGTTGCAAAGTTGAATATCAATAAAATTGCAAAAAAAAAAAAAAAAACAAAAAATATATTCTGTAAAAGCTCGAGAAAAAGCCAGCTATTTTAACTCTGAACTTCGGTATTTTTCCCGTTCGTCGTTTTTCATCAATTGCTGATAGTCGAGCAGACAATAGGCTACTGTCTCTCCGAACAACAATAATTGAGAGGTTTTTCGTGTTTTTCGCAATTTTATTATACTTATCTAAATCCAATATTGACAAACGTATTTGTCGCGACATCAAAGCGGCTCTTTTATATCTAACTACCACGAAAAAAATTCACCAGCTGATCTATCCACGTTCATTATTCTGATTCTATGTTTGGACAATGCTCGCAGATTCGCCTGACACATTGTGCTTACCAATTGAGATTCTGCAATCGTGAAAAATTTCATCGCGATATGAAGCTTGCGCACATTATTTGCAGTAGCAGAGAGCTCAAATACTCACATTGAATGTTGAGCGAGGCTTCTGAACTTCGGATGGAGCCGGCTAATGACGAGGTCGAGTCTTCAGCAATGCAGGTGAACTGACCCGCGTCGCGTTCGCGGTCCACTCGAGTTATATGAAGGTTGGAACCCTGCTGATACCGACGCGTTGTGTTGGCTATTTTAGAACCTGCAGGAAACAATTACAACTTATTTACCTGTCAAAACATGCATCAAATCGAGGATTGTGCTCCTATCTCGCTCGAGATTAATTTCTGATTAACTACCTGCACTCTGTGAAACAAAAGGCAATCGTCGAGCATTTATTTTTACAATGCTGTACTTTGAGAATGTGATCATATCACATCTTAAAGGAGTAAACTTACAATTCGCAGGCAATCCGACTTTTGTCGTCTTATTATTGAAGATTTGTTCGATGTGGTGTTTGCTTTGGTCGGTTTTATTAAACAAACCAATAAATAGATCACATATTTACAGAGACAAGACAATTCATCGGTTATTTTATTGATCTCATCGTATTTGAAGGGGATATTCAAGTGAACCAATGTGTACCTTCGAAGGGTCAATAACCAACTAGAAGATTATTTCTTCTATAAAAATAAATTTAACTGATACTCGAATTAACAATTACAAACAATATCAATGTTTCAGAAAAGATAAAAACACCCTACAAAATTAAATTAGACAGTGGAAATAATCAACAAAAAACAAAACTACACCTCAACACTTGTGCAAATCTTTTTCTCTTTCTTCTTTCCGTACTGTAAGCAATAATAACCAAATGCTTTGTAAATAATTAATAAATAGCATATATCATTTTTAATGCGGTAACGAAAAGAACCAAGGTTTTATTTGTGCCAAAATATTATAGGTACAAAGAGAAAGAAAAAATTACAGAGATAAAACCGAAAATAATCATTATTTTCTTGAAAGAAAAATATTATTAATGTGTAGTTCTCAAACAAACGTTTTCTTTGCTCTAAATAATTAACACAAATACGTTAAAAGAATATTTGTTCTTTAATAGTAAAACAGTTACAATATTAAAAAATATTATTATATTATTAAAAACACGAAATTTGATTAGGAAAATTATCTATCGCCAGAACTCGCGCCCCAGAGAAAAATGCCATATAAGGTAAGGTACCAGGAACATGGAAAAAATGTTAAAAAAAAATTATCTATAAAAATTTCCAAGTTATGAGAGTTTAAAGTTTGCACTTAGACTCTATTTATTTCTGTTAGAGAAATAATTTTCCAAGTTTTTTTGCTACAGGCTATTAGAAGAGGAAACAAGTAAGCTGTATCCTAAATTGTAACTCTATTCAATGTTATTTATGGCTTTTATTGGCAAAATTTTTGTACCTTTATTAAATAATTGTAAAAAAACATATACAGGTCGTCAGTATCATTTAATAGACAAAAAATGTCAAATGTCAAAAAATAAATGTCAAAATTTTTATAGATAGAATTTTTTAAACATTTTTTCCATGTTCCTGGTATCTCATCTTACTTGAAATTTTTCTCTGGGGCGCGAGTTCTGGCGCACCCTACCAACAGGCTAAAACAGAATAAGTAAATCTGAAGAAAACAGTGGGTAATCATAATTTTCAGAGCGATTGAAATTGTTTTTCTTAAAAATATAACACAATTAAACATTGATTTAACCAGAATCTACAAAGTTGCACTATCAAAAAACAAAAAGCTTTTCTGTGTTGTATTGTTTAGCAAATTTAAATTTAAAACAATAGAATTAAAATGAAAATGTTATATGCACCGAAATTAAATCAACTGATTTTATTTGGAATAAAATCAACTAACATTTCATTTAATACAGAATTGTTGAACTGTTGATAAAATACAAAACTGACAGGATGTGGCATTTGACTCTGATAATAACCCCAATTACTTCTAATAAATTTCATAATTTCAGATATTTTTGAGTGACACTATCAGTTACAAATGTGTCCAACACTGTCTGCCTCCTACATCATGTTCGAGGAACCCAAACTAGCATAAATACTAATTATGTTGTAAATATACCGCATTTCCAAGAAGGTTCACAGAGGCGGTATTTGTCTTCTTTTTGTAACTTGCCGCCTTTTGGTTGAGTGAATGAGTAAACTAAAAATATCAAACCCCTGTAGCTTTTGTTGAAAATATCAGTTAGAAAAGGGAAAGTTTAATTGAACTTCCGGCAGAAAATTAGCTCATTAAATAAATGTGAACAAAATAGGGTGTGAATATCAAATCCCTGTTATCCACTTACCGTTTAGTTCCCAGTAGTACGTCATCCCTATTCCTGGTGTCACTTTACAAGGTAATGTCACGGGTTTACCTTGCACAACATCTACATTTCTAGGACTCTCACTGAAATATGGATCTTCCTTGCAGATGACCACGTGAACTGGAACAATAATAAGCAAAATGTACAACCCTTTTATTTTATTACTACACAACCCTTCACAATAACCACCCAAGACTTGCTAAAAAGCATATAATTACTTAATTATAACATTTGCTACGATTTATGTCTCCAATTCGTTGCAATTACAAAACAAAGAGTTGGTTCAAACGAACGGCATGTGGCTGGTATTGTGTCATGAAGGCGTTTGAATGCGGTTTATACCACGAACAAAGCTCGGTATATTATTTATAACCCAGTTGGAATTATTATTAAAAAAATGACACAAATACATTTTGTAGCTTTCATCAAGTTTGTCATCCTATTTGCGAATCAATCGTTGCGTTTACAAAATCTATCCCCTAATATTTGATTTCGTTTGGATAGTTTTGTTTGGTGTCCACTTTGTAAATATTTTACCAAACAAATGTGCGATTATGTTACCAGGACAGGACAATTAAATAAGAGCGTCAGAATGACAAAATTACGGAGCTGTGTTTATGCCAGCGTTAAAGTTTCATCGGATATTAGTCCTACACTGGTGGGCCCTTTTATCTCACTGCTTCTGACGAAATATTAACGCACCACAATAATAATTGAAGAAACAGGAAACCGCATTTAATAATTAATATTTCGAGTTGTAATACAACCGCAAACATCTTCATTTTGGTGGTATATAATTTCAAGTAACTTTGTTTAATAAAATATAAGTTTGCTGTCTTGTATAATATGAATAACTAATTTCATGATGGCAAGTTTGTTCAAAAAGTTTACATACATTGTTAGCACTGTATTCATCCATTTATAAGAGTAAAGTTACTCGAAAGTTTACAAACATTACACGTTATTTCAAATTAAAAGCATTACAAAAATATATCCGGGAACTCTTATAATAGTGTTTATTGTACGTAGTTCATATTATTACACTTGTAAATACAAAGTTAAAAAATTAAGAATACTACAAATTTTCACATGTATTGTACATTATTGTAGTTTCTACATAATTCTCACTCTTCAAAATATTGTTGTCAAATGCCATTTTTAATAAATCATTCAATACCTATCAAAGACATTAACAACCACTTAAAAAAACGAGATTTTACTACTCGTATGTTCTTTCGTCTTGTAAGTAATGCACAAACGACTACTAAATATTTTCCCTAAAACTGTAAATTCAATTTTCTTTTTTGATTATTATGCCTGAACTCTTTTTTTGTATTTTTAATTTTAAACATCACAACTACATCATCTCAAAGGTTTCGAATCCAAATTAGTGCAAGAAGTTTGAAATTTTGGAAAGAATTCCTCATATTTATTTTGACAGGTCAGATCTTGTTACTTTCCAGAATTTTAATCTGCTGAAAATGAGATACCTCAACCGAAGGTAAAGTAGGCACCGCCGCGGTAGGTAATAAGAACACCCTTCCTGTAATAAAACCAAACAGTTGTGCCGTTAAAAGTATCAGGTAATTTGCCTCCCTTTAGTCACCTATTACCTATACTGCCTTCGAGAGAAGACACAGACAAAATGTTTGATTTCACCAAACAGATGCCGTTCAATAAAATTAAAACTATGTAGTTGAACAAAGAAATGGATAACTTCTTTCATGTAAATTGAATATTTCTCCACGAACCAAAACCCAGGAGAGCTTAATGCAATAGACACACGCCTAAGTACCTCTTATCACCAAGTGGAACATCTTTGACGGCTTCAAATCAATTCCACATTACGTTCGCACATGTTTCATTGTAGAGATAGGTAAAAGTAGCATCTCTAAATATATCCCTTGAGAAAGCATGTGCAAACGTCATGCAGATGTCGACGGACGTGCATCGGTAACATACCGTCGATTGTTTCGCCTGTAGGGCCCAGACAAAGCATAGAAACACGCTGGACCATGAGAAATGCGCCTGTATTGATTATGCACGCGTGATATGATCACCAGTGGCGTAGATAATGACACAAAGAGTACAACAATAAAACGAGTGGATTGGTCATGGTCTCTGTGACGTCTTCAGACATTGCCACTAAATCATGAATCATCGTCAATGCCTGCAAACGTCTAATTCACTTACAATAAAAGCGAAACACACTTGAACTTGTTTCCACTTTCTTTTAAATATTCAGAGTCCAATTTTACCACTCACAAATTAATACAGGTATAATGCTACATTCCTCTAACAACAGGAAGCATATTTGAATAATTTAATATCATTAAGAAAACTAGGAATTCCTATGCTTTCAAGAATGTATTTATTGCGATCAACGATGTAAATTATCTAATTTAGAAAAAAATTTCTCAGTGGATTCTCTTCCCACATATTTGATCGAATTTAATTTGAAATACCAGAAAATTTTTTGAGCGCCCCATAGGCACACGCCCACTACGCCACTAGAATAGTCATCTCACTGCGTAAAAAACTTGTCTCGATGTGCTAATTTCTACCTGAGGATCATGCCGAAAGCCCAGATCCGATCAGCACCCAAGTGGTATTACAAATGTACAGATCTATATCTATTCTTTAGGAAGAGTTTGCCCCCATAGGTGGATACCGTGCAGTGAAAATGCAAGATCATTATGGGCGTTATAAACAAGACTTTACAACCCTTTTCTACTTGAACCGAGCAAGTATTCACGTTTACAACCCGTAGGATCTCTCCAACGAACAGCCAAACGCAGACGAGTTCCTGCAAGCCGCCACACACTCGATACAAAACAAGCAAAAACAATGCTTGGTATTACCATTGAATCACATTATAGACATACGAAATAATTATAAGCTAGATGACTGACTATTAAGTTGTATTTTTGTGTGAGCGAATGGATTTTTCGTGAATAATAAAGAGCGGATCAAAGACAGCTGAATGCACCATCCTACAGTTGCCGACTTAATGATACGGTGGGTTGCAAGCAGATATTAGTGGTCGTTTTGTATTATGTGAAATACATGTCTTTCCCAAATTCCGTTGAAAAAATGACGGTTATTTTGTAATAATACACTGGGATTTTTTGCTACATATCGGTGTAATTGATTCGAAAAGACCGACTGGAATCTGGAATGTTGAAAAGGCTACCTGTTCTTTCATTTTTCTTGTCGGGTGAGTGAAACGAAGAGGGAAAAAGATTCCACATGATTCATGTGGACAGATATATAGACTAATAATTACCACTCCGACAGGACAATGTATTTCGGTGAACAAATTTTTAATAGTGATCCTGCTAATGAACTATTTTAAATTAAAAATCATACCATCACTGGGATTAATTAGTTTAATGCTAATGTTTACTTTTATAAAATAATAATTATTTACATGTAATGTGTTTTCAGACCAATACACAAATTAGTTGTTAATTGGTGGTACTTCAAAGGTGAATTAATTCCAATAAAACACATTACGCGTATTATTTATCATTTTAAATACATATAGCCATGTCCAGAAATTAATTTATAATTCTACATACATAAATCAATATGTACAACTAAAAGATAAATTAAAAATAAAAAAGAAAAATTAAATCGAGTAAACAAATACAGATAAAACTTTATTGCTTTATAATACTCCGTAAATCCTCAAATATTATTACTTACACTCAATATCATAATATATGATCCAAATTACGATAAAAACGTAACATAAATATCATAACATGAGTGCAGTAGCAAAAGGTAAAAATTATGCATCTACTAAAAAGTGTCTTTGTGATTAAATAAATGTTAAAATACAAATATACCCACTGTAACTCTAAGAATAATCAAAAAGTTTTAAAACGCTCCGATGATTATTATAGAAAGCAATCTATAGAATCTTGAATATTTGAAATAAAATTCAGACTTACCCAACACAAAAAGAAAAAAAATCAAATTAAAGCGAGACATTATGAAAATGATAAATAAACAATCACTATCACGAGTTCACAAATAAATACGAATAAGTTCAAGTTTAGTTCACATTTCGTGTAAAGTTTGTAAGTAATAAAACCGAGAAGCCGTAGTAAAACGATTGATAACGTAACGTACGCAGCCGAAAGCTCTACACCCTACCAACAAACATATGAAACTGGCTAATGCCTGATGAGCCAGACCAGACAGAAGGGAAAACTTGACAGGCGGCAACCGGCAAAGTTTATCCGGTTTATTTGAAAACCTAACAATTCCGAGTTATCTCGAACTTGTACGAACTGGTTCAAGTACAATAAAAATGTATGTAGGCAACACTTTATACGTAATTTTTATGAAAATACTTGTAGTGTAGTCTGTGACTGTTGTATTCAGCATATCATACATATATTATAAATTTCAAGCCAAAAATTATTCAAAATCAATGTATTTTAGATAAAATAATTGCTTACACCGCAGTTTTTAACCAAAATAAAGCAAATTGAGCTATGTCCAATCTAAGTTTGCTCGATTTTAAGCCAGAAATCATTCTAAATCAATGCATTTTAACAAAATAATTGCTTAAATTTAAATTTTCTAAAAAAGTAAAGCAATTTGTGGTATTTAGTTTAACTTTAAATCAGATCAATGTTTTTTAGATCAATATTTTTTACTAAATAAAAAAATAAATGCTTAAATTATAGTTTTCTGTCAAAATAAAGCAATTTGAGCATTTTTAATTTTATACCTATGTACTATAAAAAACTAGTACATCAAAGTTACCTACATGTAAAAATATGTAAGTACTTTGAGAGAAACTAACAACTTGACTATGCTAATATTTGGACAAAAAAGTATGAACCCTAGGTTTTCGCTTAGTGGCTGATGGTTAATAGGTAGTAATAGAACCAAAATAATAGTTATCATACAGTAATTAAATAATATTTTAAAATAAAAACTACTAAAGCTTTATTTATAATCGATCTTAGTGAACGAGTGCGATATCACTACTAGCACTAAAGAAAGTGTGTAACGAATTTTTTTGTGTAGATGATAAATTATTTTCTAAAAGAAAATGTTTATTAAAGTATATGAAAAAATCAAAGAAATTAGGAAAAAACACGGAAATACTTTATTTTGAATTCTTTGAATTCTGAGGTTATATCGATTGTGATCCATCTATTAACATTTGTGATAAGTAATATTAAAATTTTGGCAGTTTTCGTTTTTGCCGACTAGTTTTGACATTGACATTTTATAAACATCTGTTCAACAATTTGACGATTGAAATCACAGACACGTATTGTTTAAATTTATTGTTAAAACAAGTTCATTGTGTTACGCGTTTCACAAGATTTAAGTGCTCTTTTACGTAATTATCAAATAACAAAATTAAGCTCTATGTATAATAACCCGACACTTTTGAAGTGAAAGTTTTAATAGTTTTTTATTGCTTAAATTTGATATCTTGCTAAAAAAAGATTTCTCATCTCATATTTACGTGGACGGAAGATTTTTATTTAGTCTTCAATATGGTCAAGTGTAAGGTATGTTAGAATCACGATTTGATGATTTGGGTTTTCCCAATTCTAAGATATATCATTGTTTATTCCAGGAATGTGGTTGTAATTGTAAAAGATGTTTTGCGAACGACCATGACGTGCATTTGCATGTTGAAATAGAAAATCTCAAACAAAAGTTAGTAGAGCGAGAAAATCATATTGTTACAATGGAGACTAATTTTTTAAATGAGGCTAATAAGTACCCCAGTGGTGAATTGGTAGCACTTAGGGAAGAGTTGCTGACATGGCAGGACAAGTATAGGAGGTAAATTCTTGCAAAATATAGGTTTTTTTGTATAAAAGATGCGCTATTACAATTTGTAATTTTTAAGGCTGTATGATGCTCATAGACGAGTCCAAAGAGTAAACCAAGGTTTAGAAGATAAGTTATTAAAATTAGTAGATGTGTGTGAGACTGAAAAAAGTATGTTAACTAAAGATGTAGCTACTTTATCTCAAAAACTAGCAGAGGCTAATCATACTGTTAAAAAATTAACTGAAGATAATGTAAGTTAATTAACAAAAGTAAGAATAGTGTATAAAATAGTCGTATTTTTTTAGGAAAGATACAAAAATGATGTTTCTTTAGCAATACAATTTCTTCAATGTAAACAAAGTAATTTCGTAGCGCGTAAATTTGATTCAGTAAGTATTCTTTTGCTATATGTAATTTAAATTTTTGTATATGTGTTTTGTAATTAGTTACCCCATGAAGTACAAGTGCAAGTGTCTTCACATATGACAAATAAGCGAAAACCTGAAGAAAAAAAAGTTTCATATGAAGTGAAAAGTATAAAAGTGCCGATCCCCACATTTCCGCCTACAGCAATGGTCTATTCAGTTCCTAAATCACCAAAACCTGATAGAAAAGTAGAACCTGACGCAGAATCACCCCCAGTAGATATAGTATCCGCTGCAATAATGGCTAAAGTTCTTGAAGAGCGCCAAAAGGAAAAATCTTACGCGAAACATTGTGATACCTGTACTTGTTCAAAGAAACTGACTATAGTTTGTGACTTAACCCAGTACACTGTTGGAACCCAAACTGGGGATTACCAAAACTCATTGTGTCTTAGATGTAACGAAAATCTTCCACAAAGTCCCCAAAAAATGCGAATTGTAAAGCACGATTCATCTTCTAAAAAGGTACCAATATACCCGAACGAATCCACCGAAATTGCTCATTCCGGAAACAACATCGTAAAAGTTCAACCAAATAATTTTCTAATTGATGAAACACCAAACCGTGTTTCAGATATGTCAAATAATTTACTGTCCCAACCTGATATCAATTTTTTTAGTACAAACGAAGCTCCTCGTGTTAAAACCTCCAAATCTCCAAAATTGGGGATAAAAGTTGAGCATCACCATTTGTGCAACATGACATCACCCACGTACGAAGTACACAAGGAACAACCCGAATCGGATACAAGTGCCAAAAACGGGTCTTCCGACAATCTCAGAGGTCCTAGGTACTGTTCAATGAGGTTGCAAAGTGGCACAAGAAATATACTATTAGACAACGCTCATAATAACATAGCTCCAGTTTTGTATAAACAACACAAAGTAAAACGCGAAGAGACGCCCACGACACATGATACATCACGCACGGAGTCTTGCTCAAGCGAAGATTTAAAAAATATGTCTATAACTAGCGACCCGTCAGGTCATAATCAACAAGTGGCAGACTGGATACAAAACAATCTAGATAATGATATAAGTAGTTCGGAAAACTCGCAATCAGAGCCGCTTATTCATGAAAAACGAGGAACTTTGGCGGGGGTTGATAAAATCAAATACGCGGAGATGGAAGAAAATGTGAAACGGTTTTTATTTGGGGAGAGCGAATTTTTGAAAACGGTGGAGATTGGAAAATTAAAATACCAAAATTACAGGGAAAAAGATGGAGGAAATGAAAATGAAAGTAGTAGTTCAAGGAGTCACCCTCACACTGAAACAGAGATTTAATAATTTAATGATTTTTTTATATGTACTATTTATTGTTATACAGGTGCAATGAATTGTTAAATTTATTTTTTATGTAGTTATAAGGCAGGTTTCACATTAATAAAATGAGCCAAGGTCACAAGGTGTGTACTCAGTTAACAAAACGGGAAACGGCTAGTTTTTCTCATTTTGTTAGTAAAAATTATTAGGAAATGAGTACTAATAAAAATTCGATTTTTATTAGAAATAAATTATATTGTCTATAACTATTTGACCTTGCCTTATTTTATACGTACGATACTTGCAGGAATAAATGCGGATGTGACTGATTCAAAAAGGTCTAAATGTAATATTGTGGCAAAAACACAATACATATATCATATTAGGGGAACATCTGTAATACATCAATTAGTAAAACTAGCTGCGAAGAAAAGAAAGTTAAATTTGTAATGGAAGTATCGGAAACATTTGCAAAAAAGGAAAAAAACGTTTTTTAATGCAATGCGTATAAAACGACTATCACAACATTTTTAGTACAAATAATTATTTTAATGAAGTCATTGTTTGAACAGCATTTATAGAGAACTGCTTTCAATTGCTCTTGAACAAATGTTTGTACATATTTCTGGCGATATTTGTTGAAGTTGATATAATTAGCTTGAGTTTTTGTTTGTTAATACGCAAAATGTGATTTTTTTACTTATTTTAGGATATTGTCTTTGTTGCAGCGATTGGCTTATTTAAACCTTGTTTTTTTTTGTTTATGATTGAAAGACAGAGTTCTGAGGCTCATTAGTATAATTGCTTCTTTGAAATAATAATTTACTGAAACAATAGTTTCAATATAACTTTATGTATATTCACATTCGTAACTATTGCACTATAAGTACGTTAATTAGCTGTTAAAAATGTCATTCCTTTTTGTACGAGCTTTAAATCAGTGTATTATTTATTTGTATTGCAATGCAAACCACACCTTGAAATGGAGTGATAATTTTATTAATTGAATACAATAGTGTTTTGATGTAATAATTTTGGGTACAATTGAATTAAAGTTAAGGTGACCTTAATCAAAAGTAACCCTTTTTTTGTTCACATCCAGGTTTTCACATTTGTGATCAGTGCTAGTTGCCAAATTTTCTAGTTTTCTAGCGAAAATCTGAATGTATTAAATTTTTCAATCTTTTTATTATTCTGTTATAACCAATATGATAAGCTGTGATTTTTAATATATGTGTGATTTCAAATAGATTAGAGGAAACTCCTGTGACGTCTCATGAGTTACCCGACCAAATGCTTTTATTTATTTTGTTTTAATCATTTATCCGTATGTCTTAAGTGAGATGAGTGTGTTTTGTGGAGTTTTTTTTCTACAAATAGGTAATTGTATGAGAATGACATGAAACAAGTCAACAAGTGCCATGAATTATTAATATTTGTATTGAAGTTTTACGTTTTTTACTGATAGTTACAATTTATAGCAGTGTGATTTAACTTTTTATTGAATTATACTCATTTTATTCTGTATTTTGATTTGTGTCCTTCATGTCATTCTTAATCTAGGTGAAATTTATGTATAAAATATATCTATTACTCCGATTAGTGCAACTTCTTCGTAGTTTTAGTGTAAATACAAATATTTATCCATAACAATGTGGTTTTATTTCACCATTTTGTTTAGAGATAATTTTTCAGAAAAATACAAAGTCGTGAGACAAACAGGTAATTTAGATGAAACACAAGTTTTTTTTTTAATATTGTGTATGCAGATAGTGTTTTCTCATCAAATAAACTCAACCTACAATAAAAAACTTCCGAGTGAATAACTGAATACGAAAATAAGTAAACTGTAAAAGTAAACAGATGTAGTAAGGTAGTGCAAAAGCTTACTCCAGCCATATACGTAAACATAACGGAAGAACTAGTGGATTTGTTAGCACTAACACCTGATATCTTCTATTATTTATTATTGTCTGCTGGATTTAAACATGTAATAAAAGAACTGATGGAATAGTAAGACGAAACTTTCAGTGCTCAGATTTTCCGCTCTTCTTCACATGAAGAAACTGAAACTGCACTTTCTAAGACTTAATTGATAATTGCTGATGATCTCGTAAATTTTGATGGCTCGTTTTGTGAAATTTGCATTCCATACTTTTACACAAAGAAACGAAAAAAGAGATTTGGTATAAAGGAAAAGTTTGAAATGGATAGGGCGCCCTGTTGGTTGTAATTTAATCTCTTGTTAATGTCTACACAAGCGTAATGGTATTGTTGGGGTCACATCATATTATAAACTCATTAATGAGGAAATATCAATTTGACACGACTAAGAAAATTGTTAGGAGGAATAATGAGATGAATACCCCTCTCCTGCTCCTACATAAACCATCCACGACCGTATCAGGATGGATTTTTGGCACCTGGAAATTAAATTGCAAACTGTTTGGGAGTTTCAGTTGTCAGTAGTACTTCTGAAAATCGCTCGTGCTTGTGGCTAACAGGCATAAAATTCGCGTAACTTTTCCAGAAATCAAGCTTTTGAGTCCTTCCTACCGGCTTCGGCATGCTTAGTAACGAACGGATCCAATGCGCGCGCGTTTTGGTCCGCATTTACTTGTAAAACAGACGCAGTGGTGGTCGTTTGCTGGAATCTCGTGGTTGATTGTCCGAGTCACGTTTTGTTAGAGGCTAGTAAATGTTTACAAATGCCAATTTCCGTGTGTTGCGGTTCATAGACAATATTTATTAGAAATGTGACTGTCTGCAGTGATTGACATCGTGTCGTTCTTTAAATATGAGTGACTCGGACAAGAACGATGATGACACTTGGGAAGATTTCTTCGGTGAGTGGTAATCTTACAAGTCAAGGGTTGGGAAATCATCAATGACATCCCTTTATTTCATTGTACTGTTAGTTAATTAAAGCAACCTTGACAAATGGAAAATACGCATTCTGCGGCTAATTATTGTTTCCTTTTTTCGATTTATTGTTGTATCAGAGGTGTAGTAGTTATGTGGTTATTTTATACTGCACGTTATTGTTTTGGTTTGTGTTCAATGACACGCAGACTTTGAGGAATGTAGCTAAATATTTAGTTCCGAAAGGTTGAAAATATGCGTCCGCTTTCTGTTTTTTTTTCTTTCCAAATACTGTCATTGTCTGATTTATTTTTTCATTTTGAATTAGTAGAATGTTGCATAAGTTTTAATTTTAATAGGCTAGGTAATTTAGATTAAGAAAACATTTTTGCACTTGTTGATATGAAGTTATATTTACACAATGTTAATATTGTGAAGAAATGTTTAATACTGAAACAAAACAAAACACAACATTTATAAAAAATCATACTCTTCCGAATGATTTTTGTATCTTTGGGTGGCTTTGCTATATAATTTTTGAATTTCTACATTTTTTGAAAGGAGGTAGAACTTATCGAGACATTTCAAAAGCTCCTCAAAGGTGTTTATGAATTTATGATTTATGAAGTCACCGCAAGCTCCTTTTCTGTTATGCTAATAATAATTATTACCTATATCTTCATTTTGAGCATAAAAAATTAATGGCTCATGGAATAATAATATTTTTTGTTTCCGGTCAAGCAAATTTGCAATTTCTTGTCTTTTGTGGCCAGTGGCTATAAATTATTAACACGCAATTTAATTGTGCGAAAAAAATTACTCACTGTTGATTAAATCTTTCTACGTGCGGAAATTTAAAGACTCAATTATTAATTATACTGCTGTTACTCATGGTTTTGAAGTTTTTCTGTACAAGGCACGTATTTTCCTACATTTTGTTATACATTTGTGCAAATATAGGTTATCAAATATTTATTTTGTCTCATTTTAAGTCAAGCTTTTAAAAAATGCTTGAACAGCTTGCGTACAATCAACAAAATTGCATTGAGGTAATATACGTAAAACTAAGAAACGTCGTATTATGTTAACTAGAAAAGTGACAGTTTTCCTTATACGTCGTAATTTAATGGTGTAGATTGGAATCTGTGGATAAAAACAAGTAAATCCTAAGTCAAACTGAAAATTTATGCGTTGTATAATTTAATAATTCGTAAAAATTCTACAACTTAATTAACTAAATTATGTTTCATATTTACTGTTTTTTTGATTACATCGTCTTTAATCAGTTTTATGATCGTTGACACTATTCAGAGCGGTTATATGGTTCAGGGATTTGAGATGAAACTGAATTATGCAACAGACATGTACCCAATTTTCTTATTGTTAAGGTACAAATATTTATGAACGGATTAGTCTTTGAACTGTGTTCTTATTACGAAATCTAAGCACCAACAATTAATCTACTTTGCTGCTACAAAGCCAAACACTTGTTTTGTTTTATTAGAAAAATTGCATTATTACAAACACAGTCATGCAAATTTGCTTTTGCTCTTGCTTATTTTATTATCTTGGTTATATTTTTGTCCCAGTGCGTGACTGGATTTTTTGCATTTTGAACCGAGTAATACACGATTTAAAATTCTTGCACTTGACATAACGTGGGTATTAAAATGCCAACGATATCATATTTTGATACTATTAACGTAACATTTAATCCGTGAAGGACAGTTACCTTTTGTTTACAGTTCGTATTTATTTTAAACAGACTTTGGACTCCGTCAAATGACCCTTAATTTATTACAGTTTATTTATAAATTTTTTGATGAGTTTTGATAAATCCTCGATTTTCGTTACATTTCGATGTCGACAGGTTGTAATCAGTGAAACTGTGACAATAGGACATTGATCATTGACTACCCCATTTATGGAGTTTCCGGTATATCAGTTGATTGCAATTTGGCACTCCTATTAGTATTGTGAACGAAAGAAATCCTTTTGTTTGCGATTTACGTAAACGTTTTCAAAATGGGAAGTTATATGACGGTGTTACTTTCATTCATGGCGGAAAGACATTTAGAAGTAACCGCAGAGGGCGGATGACGATATTTATAAATGGCTCTACGGATACAAATATTTACAGACTGCAATAGACATACCCCCATTACACACTAAACGTTTGCCGTTAAGACACGTATAAATTTACTTCCGTTTCCACAGTCTATGATACATAGATCCGGTGTCCTTCTTTCCATAAAGAACAGTTCTATTATTTTAACTGTAGACTTGCATCAGAGATTGAATTTATATTCTGTAATCGTGCTAGTCGGTAAAACACTGCAAGGGATGTATTATCAAGTTGGTAATTCTAGGAAGTATCTTTAATAATAGCTTTTTTGGAAGAGCTGCATTGTTATTTTAAACTAAAGGTAAAGAAATGACTAGAATGAAATTTGTTTGAATTGTAGTTTTCACAGCGCAGACACACCTTATAATAATTTCATCTGTATTTTTTTGGGCAAGTTGCACAAGTTTACACATACACCTTTTGCAATGTTTGCCATCTGATTGATTAAGCCACAAAATATTGATAATATGTAATAGAAAAAATAGGACATCGAGAAAATACATTTGATTAAACAAAGCAAATATCATTTTTCAAGTATTTTGCTGTTAATTGAACCTAAACATATTGGACTTGATGGAAATCCAAGAAAGAACCACTTGCAACCGTCTAGGTACACAAGCGACGTTATTTTTCACTGTAAAGTAAATAATACCATGAAATGCACTATGCTTCGTTCATTATCGTTGAGATAAGAGTGCATACACAACTAGAACGTCTGTAATTAGTGGACTTTTGCGAAATTCAACAGATATTGTCAATGACCTTGCACAAAGAAACCTCAGAAGGCTCAATTAGCAACTAGTCTGTAAAAATAAGAGTGGTAACAAATACTTATAATTTAAACATAAAACAATCCCACCAAACGAGTCTTGTATTTATTGCCCCACATAAGATTGCCTTTTGTAGAATATGGTAGATGTGGGGTAATAAATCAGCAAGTAATTAGCTGCGGAGGGCTTGTGGTGTTAATTTTATTAGATTTTTTCAAACTATGAGTGAGTTAATAGATTGTTGACTTCAAAGTTTGGGGTAATAATTACCAATTTTTGAAGTGACAAGTTGATGTTTCCCGTCGTCATATTTATGTAAGTGAACATTAAAACATGCTTATTTTTAAATAATACTTTCACTTTATGGTGTTTGTTGTGTAATAATAATTAACCTATCTGAGAAAACTGATGTGTTCGAATTAGTGTTTACAAGGGTATTTGTGGTTTTTAGGCCGAACACGCAACTGCAAAAATATTCCGGGGTTATTAGCATACAAATATCGTCGAGTCCAAAGGGTAGACACAACAAAATGAATAAAATGCAGAATAAATCACTTCATTTTGTCGAAAGAATCGGTCGTGACAGCCACATGGTATAAAAAATCAATTAAAACGGTTCTAAAACAGGCATTATCTTCCGAATTTCGACACAAATCGGTCTTTTGTGATATTAGACGCTATCATTGCGAAGAGTTCGGCATTTTGTTCCAATTTTAACACCGGTATTCTCATTCACAAGTGGGGTAAATGCATAAAGAACAACATATGCTATTGTTGGTGTGGGCAGCGTATTATTTACAGTGGGACAGGTATGTTTTAAGAACTTGTAGCCGTGGGTCGTTCGCCGGTATTTTGAGAGTTCTTTTGGTCGATATTTGTTTATGTCAGATTACGAAATTCACTTTTCTGCTAATGATTTGCTGCATTTTGCGTTTGCTCGAGGTCTACTTCATTTGTGTTCGACAAGGTGCACGGGATCGAGAGGATCGATGGTAAGTAATGATTTGTTGTGCTTTATATTTTCTACTCGATATTCAAATTAGTAAGAAGGTCGTAACGGTTTTTAACACTTCAAGTATAAAGAAAGGTGTTTTAAATACAACCTCAATGAAAATAGTCTTGCAAGAATGAATTACGTCATTGTATACATTCATCTTAAAGCGAAAGTATAAAATAATTAGTATCTTGTTTGTAAAAGTTAAACACACTAATAAAGCAATTATTGTTATTTATATTGTTCAAATTTGAATTTATGAAAAAAAATTCCGTAATCCAATTACTTGAAGTATCAATCAAGGGAGTATTGAAACTTCATGATTTTAATCGCTTCAACTTTCATTTGCATTTTCTGCAGTGAACGTAGGACGAGGTCAATAGTCGGAAATTCATTTTCTTATTCCTAATTTTATACGTCCGTAAAAGCAGCGTTTAGTAATTTTACGAACTAAAATAGCTGTGTTTAATCATAGGTGTAATGTCTCGTTGAATCATTCTAAATTGTAATGTTTTTCCAACAATTACCGCCAAGATTTATAGTAAGAGATGTTGTACTTAAATCGCAATTAGACTTCACATCACAAAAAACTCATTTCAAGGTATTATTGATGATCCTTGAGGTGTGTTGTTAAGTAATTCATTGTGGAAACACGCCCAAATTAGTCTGGTCTAGACGCTTTTTACAAATTACTGTATCCTCTCCATATCACGTCGAAAGGAAAGACGCATTAAAAATAGGGTGCATGGATATGTGAGAACCGTTTTAGAAAGCATTTCAGGTATTAGATTTCTTCTCTGGAAGTTGGTATGAAGAAAAGACTTTTTGCTTGAATGCATTAGAGTGGCTAATGTGGAACCAATCGATTAGAACAATATCCTGATATAATTTACCAATGCCTTTTCGCAATTTTCACAGTTATTTCGAGGCTTCGATAATAAATATTTATCAAGGCAATTAAAATGATCTATAACTTGTGTCACTGGGAATGATATACCAACGTGAAGGAAAATAAGCATAAACCAGTCTAATTTTGAACTCTAGTAAATAGCAAAGGTATCTAAAAATACAGTCTTATTTTTAATAGGAAAAGTC